ATACTGCTATCAAGATCGATGTGCTCCACTACTGGCCTCGCCATTACTGCTGCATATCAGGCAAGTTTACCAAACCTATTTTCGTCGTGGTTAACGTTATCTTCCACCCGCGTGAAAGTTATCTCATGGAGTGCGTATTTATTAGAGAAATATATGGAAGAAGGACAGTGCTCAAGTGCTGTAACACCCTTTCGGTGCCTACCCGTCACACCACCTGAGGGAAACACGAAGATTGAAATAATGCCAGGTTGCCCAAACCTGGACTAGAGTAGAGGAGATAGAGGGGTTGTGTTCGAACTACGGACCTTCTGGTTATTAGGTTCGCGCCGTAACCTCTGAACCATCTTGAGGTTTAACTGTAGCATCATATACGGGATCGGATAGATTGAAACAGTTCAGGACTCACTTGGTGATTCAAGGTAGAACCACAAGCGTAGTATCCTTGATAATAAGGATATATCATCCAACCCTAAAGTAGTGTACACTTCTCAAAATGGTCGTTTGCGATAGCATAAAGTGAACCCAAGTGGTTTATTTCACTCCGGCCGTTTTCTAAATTGTTCTGCGAATTACGCAAGCACTACAGTCCTTCCGTGAAATAACGGTTACATGCGATTCATGCACTAAGCCAACCGACGCCAAAGCGGGTACAAATATGGCGGAGATACTTGTCCCTTCCAGGAGCCGTATCAAGGAAGAAACTGAATGTTTCGATACGGTATTTTGTGCAATGGGAACCCTCTGTTTGAATCTGAAGAAACCAGCCAACCAACCAACAAGGAGCAGAATATTTTGCCTAAACCAAAATATGCCGACTGTGACTGGTCATTAAGACAAACATCGTGGTACGCAGAAGAGGACCCGCTCAGTAACTGTCGTGTGTATGGATTTCGTATGGAGGATTTGCGGAGATTCTTGACAACAGTGTATGGATTTCGTATGGAGGATTTGCGGAAATTCTTGACAGAGATAAAACCGCTGGAACCAAATTTGGCAAGTGCCAATTCGGCTCCCTGGGCCAACAGCGGCTCAGATTTGAGTTGGAGAAGGGCGAATTGAACCTAACGGCTAGTTTGATATGACCATAGCCCTATTTAGATTTTATGTTGTATTAAGTAACACTGAAAGTCCCCTAATATTAACCCTAGTAATACTGATCTGTTCTCCGGATCTTCAACTAAATCGTCGTAGCTTTCTTCTGCCAAAGTGAGACAATAGGGATTTCATTACTGTACTAAACCCACCAAACTCCACCCTCATCACGATCGATTACAAGGTTTGTGCGAAGCAGCTTCGTCAAATACCCGGATTCCCAACCAGGTCTCGCTGTATAGGCTGTAAAAGACTTCAAACCGGGTTGAGGATGGCTTGTCGATCCAACAACAATGATTTATTTGGAAGCCTTATTGTAAAGAAAATGAAAGTGGGTGGATGGGGATGGGACTTAGTGCTAGCCTACTACAATCATTCCGAGGTGCCTACATTTCCAGACGCTTTTCGAGCAACCTGAATAGAAACTGACAACAAGAAAGCCACTGACATCGGTTGGCAGTCATATCTTGCAGAGTCTCCAGTCAGACGCACTGGGGATCACGCGTTCCCCGCTCTGGAAGGCTAGCACCATCGACAGCACCCAAACGTTTCGTAACCTCCTTCGTACCCATTTGCCACCTGCGCCATCTCCTCCCCATCGAAGACGAGAAAATATTGTCCTCTGCATATTCCAGATCGACAAGGTTTTCGTCACAAGCCATCTGAACACCAAGGTTTTGGACACCTTCCGGCGTTCGTTTCATTATTTCATCGGTCACGAAGTTAAAAAGGAATGGAGGGAGAGTACAAACAGCTTACTATGTTCAAAAAGTTCCGGGGCATTCCTCGATGGGCAACCTTCTCAAGAACGGACCAGTTGACCGAGTCGAATGCGCCTTGGAGGTCCGGGTATACTAGAACTGTGGGTCGCTTATACGTATGGCGTTGTTCTAGCACCTGAAGGAAAGTGAAGATTTGGTCAACGCAACCCCCACCAGGCCGGAATCCCGTTGGCTGCTCTCGAGTCAGTGTCTAACGAGCTACCGTAAGGCGACGAAGCACAAGTGACGCTAAGAGTTTCGTTACGACCGGGGTCAAGCTGATCCCCCTGTGGTTACCAGATTCACTACGAGCACCTTTTTTGGAAATAGGCACTATCACCGATTCTCCCCAGTTTTGTGGGACTGTCTCCTTTTCCCAAATGGAAGCAAACAGATCAGACAAGCGCTGACTGACGACTTCACCCCCATCTTTGAACAATGCGGGTGGGAGGTCATCCGGACCAGAAGCTCGGTGACGCTCGAGGGAACACATGCAGTCGTGAACCTCCGAGGCCTTAAGTGGTTCCATATTCACCGTACGGTACAACCCCCACCCTACTCGAGGAAGCTTACATAAAAAAACGTTTGCTCTGTGGGTGGAATGCTAGGCTACTGCAATCCGCCTAGAAGTCAACCCCAGAAAGGAAAAAACTAATGAATTAATAGATTTTCACGACAGTTCGTAACCAGCGCGACAGGGTGTGCTGGAAAGTGTAAGGATTCGTTAGACACTGTAAGACTTTTATAAGAAAAATTTAGGAAGTCATGCGGAACAGTTACCCTGCTGGTCGTTGAGGTTAAGTAATCGTTAACCACTGATCTATTTATAGTGGGATGATCGATAGCTAGAGACCACTTCTATCGACAATTCCAAAAAGACTTCGACTGCTATGAAAGGTTTTTAGAAAAACGAGTGTATTCACAAAATCCGAACACTCCAGTTGTTGGAAAAGGCGTTCACGAGTACACCTGAAACAAGCAAAAGAAAGTGGATTAATGGTGCAAACAGGGAATGTTGCATGACACAAGAACATAATGGCACTTTCGTAAGGTTTACGTTTAACTGACTAGTGCCCCTAGCTACAAATCTGTTTATGGGATTCAATGTGCTACTAAGCTTGTCATTTAAGAAGGCTAGTACAAGTTAATATGGCTTAGAATAGATTCGCTGTAATCGTATGATTTTGGCATGGTGTCATTCGGCAAATACATACATAATTAATATACGGGTTCGAAGAAAGAGCAAACTGCTTTACAGATGATTGAAAACATCAGTCAATTACGCTGGGCACCTTGCCCATCGATTCGGCGCCGTGCAGTTGGCGGTCGTATGCCCAATACCAACATGAACTGTAGGGTATCCATCCACGACTCATTTACGTTGATGTACTCAGTTGCTTGTGAGTGCTCTGCAAATAGTGTAAGACGTAAGAAACAATACCTAACCTGAAGGTGGCTTAGCGCACGTCATGCTGCAACCGGACCACGTGACTCGTGCAGTTACTTGATTGATACTAATTAACGGATCAGATATATCCGATCAGATATATCAAGTGCCACCACATTGTGCAAAAGCCGTCCGAAAGAACACATTCGTAACAGTAAAATATGATAACTGGAACTTTTGCATAGGAAGTGTCACACAAGACCACAGACAATGCCATGCGCCAGCAAATCCCCGGTGGCTCTCCAAGTTGAAGAACGATTTTAATGACTGGCGTTACTGACCAATTTTACTGAAGTTTGCCCTTTCTCTAAACCCTCACATTATTTATGCGTATTTGCCGAATGACACCATATCGACATCATGTGATTGCATTGCGTGTTCTAAAGTATGGCGGGCATATTTACCGGACTTACTATAATTTTGTTGGTATTGGGAAGAGATTTAGGAATTTCCAATTGAGATTTCGTCCTTTCAAGTAGAACCAGTCTACGCCGAGAGGAGAAGTGCTGTACAGGTGTCTCGTTCTTACTAAGGAGAACATCCCACGAAACTCCAGTCTCTAACCAGGAAGCTCCCGGTCAGTAGTTTGAACCCACGACCGTTCGGCCGTGAGCGGCTGATCAGCAGTGTGATTAGCTCGAACTTGGACAGAATGTGACGCCACTTACCCATTAACTGAGAAAAACTAATCAAGTAGTCACGTGTTGACTTGTTCCGCGAGCTACGACTTCTTAAACGGTGTAAACCGATGGATAATCAACAATTCCCCCCACAGTCATGAACAATATCAATCGGTACGCTTGCTTCCACGAGTCTGATGCTTTACAGAAGATAGGCATTCAAACCTTTCAACTTCCATGGATACTCGTTTCGTCAAATTGAACCGTCCCCATGATAGAATAAAGACAAGATAATTCGGGCGAAGGCGACCCTCCATAGGCTCGGGCATATACAAAACGAACAGAATCCATCGAAACTGTGGGTAAATCTCCGTCAAGATAAAACCGATAAGCAGTAGTCAGGACCGGTAAAACTGGTGTGATTTGGGCCAGTCACGTGAGGCGGACAAGTGACTGTTCGGTCACATGAGCCTCAATTTCCGTACAAGACACGACTGTATTTAAAGCCAAAACTTAAAAAATATGGATGCCCATTGCTTGTGTGATAAAAAAAGTTTATATCTCATAAAACTTTGCTACCTTGACTTATACTTCATAGGTCTGCCTAAAAGCCTTTAAAACGTCAAACATGTGTCCAGTGTCAAGATCAGATAAAACGAAGATGTTCGGATTGCGTCGTTGGACTCTCGGCCTACGCCAGCTTTATCAGTCTTAACCACTGATTATCGATTTTAACCAGATTGACGTTTACTCAGTTTTGATCTATTCTGTTCGTTTGCACACGGCCGAGCTAGTCGAAGAGATGCCGCAAAGGTCGAGTTCATCCGAACGATCTTGTTATTATACCCCATGAATGCTTTTCAGGGATAAATTTACCCCTCCTTGACATTAGACAACTCTCAATATATGGTTTCCAGTTTATTTCTGAATAAGGTGATAAAGAATGTCAAGCATCATAAGACAGCATTGACAACCACAGACCAAGACGAACAACTGCGTAATACGATGAGGCCCAAGTAACGACCTATGCCGACCAGACAGGGTCGTACATGTTATCAGGTCAACAGCGGCAAACTGTGCTCACCGTTGTTCCAAAAATGGGAATCCTCCACCAAGGGTTAAAATAATGAACCAGCTGAGTCCTTGATAAATGTTGAATAAAAAACGCAGTCATATACTCGGTGATAGTTCAAACTAACCTGAAACTCAGTTACGTTAGTTTGTGCTTCTTCGCCTTGGGTTGTTTAGGGAACGGAAAATCGTTCGGCAAGCTCGTTCCAGACAGCGATTTCTTCTGTTTCTTTTTCTGTTTGGGCTCAGTCGTGGTTTCAGTAGTCGATTGAGGCTTTTTCTGTTGCCCGCAGAATACAGTGTGTGCCTTATTGAGCTTCTCCTTAGACTGTTCGTCAACCTTCATAGACGACTTGTGTTTGTTCCCTATCAGCTGAGTTGACGGGATACGAGTGTTCACGGTTTGAAGTACATTTCCAGTCGGTTTGTGCTGAGCAAGGTATTCAAAAACGGGCCGTGAAATCACTTATTAAATACCTATTTAAAGGCACTTTTTCTATTGAGGAAAGTGAGGAGATCAATTTCTATCACGGTATGTTCGGACAAAATAAGGAAACGATGTTGGTGGTCACCGCATATCTTTCAAACGCTACTGAACGCACAGGCTCGTTCAACAGTCTGGATGAGGTTTACGAAACCACCGTCGCATAATATGCGTAAGATATCAAAAAGGGAGTATCAAGTTCACTGCTTTAGCTAATCAATCAAAGAGTTAAGACGGGCTGTCATGATTTAGCAACACTTTCGAAACCACTGTACACATTTACTTCCCATTCAGTACCAGCTGAATGTGCATGTCTTTGTCAGTAGTTGCCAGTTTTTCTCCAGAAAAATCTGCATACACATGCCCGAGAACGCGGAAATCCACCATCCAACAGAGGCGAAAAATACTTAACGCTTAAAGAAAGATTACGAAGGTATGAAAACGACAAGAATTTTGTCAACGATTGTATAATCAGCGTTATGAATTGGAAAGGCTCCCGAGAGCTGTCTACAGATTGCACATACGCGTGACACATTTTAAAGAGAAGGACACAAAGTCCTACTCACGCAGGATAGTTTAAAAGACACGCGTGGTGGAAACGATATAAAGATTAACCTAGGCCAAGTGGAGCACTCGGGTCCGGATCCAGCATTGTTTCAGGATATCTAGCATACTGAGTTCATACTGCGTGTAAGTATCGTGCCTGGATACGTCGTACGACTGCCTGAATCGCATATCGTGCTACAACGAAGGCTGGCAAACTATCATTATGGCAGTTTCTTTTGTTATCGGCCCGTACTGTGAGCTTGAGAATTGGGGGGTAAGGTTAACAGATTCTTGGATGCAGATACTGTTCAGTTCTATCCATACACTTGCTATAGTAGCTACAGACGAAATAATAAGGCGAGGCAAAATGAGCTGGTGAACCACGTTTAGCACCTTTCGTGGTTGTTGGCTACGTGAATGTATGGCTTAAATGAACTCGGTTATAACTCTCTCAGTCCTGTGTAGTTGTATATGGAAATCCTTGTGAAATTTTTGCATCCTGTAACACACGTCCCTCCGTTTTGATGAAATAGGTAAGGGAAACTGTTCTGAATGTTTTCAAAGGCTTGTGGCATGGACATATATAGTGTGCTTCGTAATACGTTTGGTGTTTTCTGAAGGACTCACCTCACGCTATAGTCGGAGCAGTGCGTGTGTTTGTGGGAAGGGGATATTATCTAACTAGCTGACATCAGCCAAGAGTTGATTCTGAGGACACCCACCTATAAGTCTCGCAAATAAATAACTCAATAAGCAGCATATGACGAGTGGTTTATATAACTCTTTCTAGGCTGAATGTCTGCCGGGGTAATTGGAATACTAGCGTAGTGTGGTGGTTCTCAACCTTGTTTAACTCATACAGTTCTTCCAACATGCACCGAATTTTCATTTATCTGGTTCTAAAGGAAAGCTATAGGTAATAAGAAACTGTTGAATAAAACTAACTCGATCGGTGATATATATATTACGCACAATAAACCCTGGACGTTATCATCGTGAGGTTTGTCAAAAGGAGCAAAGAACGAGAAAAAAATCCGGCATTCCCACACTCTCGTTGGGTATGTTATGGTTGCTAGTTCTGCACCAATGCCGTCATAAACTGAAGAGTGACTGAAAGGGTTGAACGGATGTGTTTTAGAGTCCGATTTGCTCCACCTCTGTGCACTGATCCATAGGAAAATTCGAAAAACCCGAGTTAAATTTGATTAGTAAAAATTATCTTCATACTTTTAACTGAAAGTGAGAATGGGTTTCTCGCAAAATTCTAACTTGCCCCAGTGCTTTCCGGAAATTATCTGCCCGACTTACTTTGGTGCGGTTCAGTGCCACAAAATTCCAGTTTCTGGGAATTCTGGAAAGGCTACGGATAACAAGAACCGATGACAGGTTGTCAAGCCAAGCAAACTTTTTTTATCAATCTCTCTCAATCTCTCTAGCTTAACTACTGAAGTTTCCAAGTAAAACATGAATTACTCATGTGTAAATTTCGCTCTTGCTTCTGAATATTAAATTAGTTCAGCTACTCGAAAATTTCAGGCCAACGACCCTATCTACCGAGCCCACATAATTCGGTGGAATGAAAACTCCAGCTTACCGTGAATTTGCATAGGTAATTGGATCTCACCTCTGTGTTCAAGTGTTCACTCAACGAAATTTCCAATTGAATGTCATCCACTCAAATGTGACATGCGTTCCTTTCAGGTTATAGGACCATTCCTACAATTTCTACCTCTCTAACGCCACCACATGGTTGTGCATGGCACCTTCCAGTGGGCTAAGCCCGATATTGTTGAGCTACGGAAATGCGTTGAAGTGAATTAATCGGATGAGTATGCTTCACACTGTCACTCCGTAGAAAATCAAGTCTTTATGCGAGCTCGCCTAATGACATGAACAGAAACAAACTGACCGACCCTGTAAGGAAGATAATCTTGAATTGGGACTAGCTACCGGTAGTTAAGTTGCACACAATCAAACCTGGTTTGATCGAGCGCTTGTACACAAAACTCATGCTGTCTAGGAACAGGCGATGTTCGGCACATAACTTAATTGGCCGCACTACATCAACATGAAGAGCAAATTTCAGTCAGGAAGGTTCATTGCCAAACTTAAAAGAGTACGAAAACTAAAAGCTACAATGTAGCTTAAATTTGCAGAATTTTTCAAGTTATTTTGGCACGCATCGTATGGCCAGCATGGAACAATGGCTAGGCGATGAACAGCTGAATGGACATTCGAACTGTAACAAGGGTTGTGGGAAGCATCGACCAATACTGCTCCGTTACCTAGGCCGAAACATAGGGTTTGTATGGGGTGTCCAAGCTCCACTGTTGGAAGCGATAAGCATTGAAATTTAAAGTTCAGTTTCGGAGCCTCATTCCTGGTCTTTGACCCAACAGCCTGACCTGCAGAGTGGCACGTGTCAGTGCTCTGTTAGGCGACCCTATCCGGAGTCCCTGAACTAAAAGTCCGATCAACTCCGCTAAAGGGCAGTGGGCTAGCCATAAAATACAGGAATTAAGGCGCTGATGTTGTTGCGTACAACGGATACGTTCATAGCGGGATCGGACTCTTGTCAAGATCTAGTATATTTTTGAGCCTATTTGATAAGCTGCCGGTGTTCATAGCACACCGTTCGGCAATCGGAGTGTGGCTCACCTGGTGGAATTCTGAACCGTCCTTACTCGGAGGAATACATTATTTCCGCCTCCATAAAAACATGCCGTTTGCCTATGACATACACCTTAGGGCCTTCCCACACCTAGCTCAGCCTAATACTTTAGTCTTCCTCGCGATCGCGCAGTGGTACAACTGCTTCCAGTGTGAGGGCTTGATGAACCTCATCTAGATGCTCCCCTAAGTCTTCCTGGCATAGCTGAAGAACGGAATTCAAACCAATATGTCAGACTGGATTACTGAAGCATTCAAGCCCCACAACGCCTGGACCAGTGTTCGATGTGCGGGTCGAGGTTTTCCATAATATGTGTGGAACAGTTTACTTGCAAAAACAAGGTCTGAAAGCTCATTCTTTGACAATTTCGTGGGTGTATTATTGCATATGGAACTTTGCCAATGTAGATAGAAGTGTTTTCAAACTCAGTAGCAGATATAACGTCATTCCTACTTGAGCACGATGTTTCAAGTAAGCCTGAGATCCTGGTTTCGTATCCATCTTTAAACAACCATGAAAGAGAACGGTGCTACTTTCTCAACTTTAATGCGGAGCCGACAATTGCTTCAAGTGAATAAGAGATAACTCTGCTTGATATGTGTTTTGCAAACGCCGAGATTAAGGACAAAAGCAGTGAATCAAGCAGAATAAGCCCACCCTGTTGGTACGTATTATCGTTCCCCGTAACATAAACAAGTCACAAGCCCAACGGTGGTGTTTACACTGTCAATCCCAGTAACTGGTCCCAATAAGATAGGCTTGATGTGACCAATACAGCAATGACTAAGTATACATACGCGGTCGTACTTGACAAATTTTGGGTTCATCGGTATCGGTAAGAAAGAAATAGGACTTTCTAAATTCCTTTTGAAGTGCTGTTGCCCGTCAATGGAATTCCCAAAAGCAGTAGCTTTTGAGGGGTAAGGCTCTACAGGGGAAACTATGAATACCACTGCATTCCCCGTAGTTCCCTGAATTCAAGACAACGTCTAAATCAACTATTGAACCAATTCGGTCATAAAGGAATACGCAGTTAGCACTAAGGCGACGGTGATACTTCGGAAAATCACATCCACTCAAACAGAATAGCAAAAGTCTATAAAGATTAAGATAGCACAAAACAAACCTGTGCACAAGCGCTAACCTACCTTCTTAAAAGCAAAGTTCACAATTATTGGACAGTCACGTATGATTGCATTGTGTTGTGAGGTAAATGCTTGAAAAGCGTCTTGCTCGGAGGAAAATGCTACGCGGCAAGACCTGTATCAAAGGAGAAAGGAATGCAATAAAAATAGGTCGGGATGAACTCGGATAAGAGGAGTATGATCAGGTGTCAGCCATACCGCTGTTAATACAGTCGACGTGTGAAACGCAAAGGCTCTATTAGAAACGGAGTGAATGCAGTTACGCGAAAGACTGAGTCATTGCTGTTCGTTATTGCCGTGGACAACTTCGAGGATACAACACCCATCAACAAAACTGAGACCATTCGCAGGAAATTTCAGGGTTCCCTAGCAAGTAACGAACTCTTCCCCATCGATTTCGAAGAATGTTATAAATTATCCATGTTTCAATCGATGTTGGATACACTAAAAGTATAAACGGTTAAGTGCGTGTGATCATAATCAGTAAAAAGATTTCTTCAACTTGTACTTCTTCGGGGTCACTGCGAGCTCCACTCCACAAAGGCCTCATCCAACAAAATACCAACAAGCTTTGTTAGACGTAACCACCTTGACTCAGTTCCTATCCACCGGCCGTTTACACACAACATTTATTTAGTAACACTGGCATCTCGACTCAGTAGTTTGATAAAAGAGCAAAATATGTTGGCCCAAACAAAGTAGTCAAATAGTTAACTAATAGGGTAAACTTCATGGTATTTGGTATAACACAGACTTCACCTCTAACAGTTTCCGTTGATTCTTATGGTATTGTTAGCCGTTCGGTTCACTTAGTTCTTTGTTCAAACCCCACTCTGGCCTCACATTTTTCCTGTCTACACTTGAGCAAACTTACAGTATTTCGGTGCTTGTGCTTCCCTCCGGCTTCACAGCGACGACGCACACACATTTCGCGGATGGACGAATGGATTTTGTTCCACGTTAGGAATACCTCTATGAGATTCCCACTATGACGCAAATGGAAAACTAGTGTATCGGGAGAAGGTGCCCAAAGGTGCCCGGCATAAGGTGCCCAATGGACGTTAAAACCCGAAACAATACACACCACTCATGTCATCCTGACTTCAGGCCGGGTGATCCTGAGATATTCGTCGAGATACTTCAGAAATCCAGGCCGGTCATTCTATGGATTTTAACAACGCATCTTGTAAGGGATACCAGCATAGTCACGATCAAAACGGCGCGGGGTTTCGGAACACCATAGTCAAACTGGAAACTCAATTACCAACTACACAGTTTGACTGCCGTCTGCATTCAATACATAAGTTTTGCGTTACCATCAATGACAACCCCAGCGGTAAAAGTCGTGAATGGGCTGAGTAGCTGTAGATCAGGTGGGGGTTGATCTCTTCGCCGAGCTTGGGTATAGCTTACAAGTTAAAGCAGACCAGCTACCAAACTCGGTGAAAAGACCAGCTGCCACCTAGTCAACAAACAATAACCAATATTTATGGGCGCCACCATGGGGCGAGAGAGCTGCAGCTTCACCATACTAAATAGAGGCATTTTCATTCAGGTCAATTCGGTGGTAAACTACATACTAATACTAAATAGGTCCACCACACGTATATTGGTTGTCCCCGAAAATTGTATACTTGTCCTTAAGGCCTGAAGCACCACCTCCATAACAGACAAGTTGCTGAAATTCACTATATCTGGTGACTGTCATTAATACTCCATTATTAATGTGATAAGAATTCATTCAACTCATTCAGAGAGAAACGAAACCTACCCAATTCCTTTATCTTTCGGGTGCATATTGAAGTCAAAAGAGACCGCTTGCGGGAACAGTTGTCTAACCTCATCCGGTGTCGTATTGCGTGGAACACACGATACATGCAGTGTGGTAAGTGAGAAATCTCGCAACTGACGTTCGTTGGGTTTCGACCATTGAATAGGCTTTTCGCCACTTTTCTTTTGACCTCTATCCGCATTCGGATTAGTTTCAGTGTTCGATCGCTCAAAGCATAGTTCCGCCTTAATTGGTCGATCAGCGATAAGTTTACCGACGATTGACTTCAGTGCATTTCTTGCCGATTCTTCCGACTTGAATTCTATGAATGCATGCCTGAAGGGGAATATGGGAATTTTTCAGCCCAAAACTGCAACTAGTAAGAGGTTCTTTTTGTACAAACAGCACTTAGTATAACTGTATGCTGATCATCGTTCTGAACAAAGGTGGTCAAAGTGTATGAAAATAAGGCTCACTTTAGCACTCAGAATCAAGCACCCATAAAAGTGAGCCTCACAAACTAAGTGAGACTAGTTTCCACCGAATTGTACGCCTCTCTCTCCCATAGGTTTGAATTTTTCACAACAAAGCTATAAACACTAAGCAAGAACACATACAGGCTGGTGAACGGAATGGTACACGGTATATTTCAAGTCACTGAAGAATAAACATTTAGCAGCCGTGCATTAATGACTGGTGTATCAGGTTTCATCGTTCGTCACTCGGCCAAGACTGCCGTAGCTGAGCTGGGGATAGAATAGACGCAAGTTCGGATGCAACAAGTCTGCATTTGGAGTCTAAGCCGCAGCTTTTCTGTACAGATCTACGGGACTTGTCATTACCTCAGCCCGGAGGCTACAGTTTCCATGGCAGTGAGCACATATGAATACCTTAGACATTATATTGTTGTCTTTAGTTGGTGTCACAAAGTACTGTGAAGTTTTCCACAGGGATTCGTACCCGCGATTTTCCGATCAGATCGTTGCATAGATCCGTGAAATCTACCCTATCCATGGTTCGAAACAAAGAAAACAGTCATTCTCGGCCTTCAAACGTCGATTCACCTTATAAGTAAAATTAATACCATGCACGAAATTACACAATCCCACAAAGTATGGTCAACTGATAAACTATGTTCAGACAGAGTTCCTCTTAAGAAGCAGTATCGGACGAAATCACTAGAATTGTGGTTCGATCTCGGTTATCAACGTGGGCCAACAAGACCACATATTGGCTAAAATTAAGGGTGCGCTTACCTACGTCGGTTAGAAAACGCTTTTGTCGGTAGACGAGCGTTAATTGAAGTAGGACAAAGTGCCTTCAGTTGAGCCAAACTCGTATTTCGTGGTAGTTTCCGAACATACAACGTGCGATTGTTCAGCAGGGAAAGAAACATGCCAAAATTAACTCACCTGTTGTGCAACACTTTTGGAATGTACCCACATGAGTTCGGTAGCCCTGGTTGTCCTAATGACTTGGTGAAAGCGAAACAGCAACACCATGAGTCACCTAGACCACTCACCACCGGTAAGCATGTGAAAGTTGTTTTTTTACCACTCACCACCGGTAAGCATGTGAAAGTGGTTTTGCGCGTTTTCATATATATGTATGATAGTGTCATTCAATTTACGACAGCACTGAAGGCTCGTCGCGATATTGTAGCACCATACAGCATATACTTTTAAATTAAGGGGCACGAACCAAGGCTAAGTACGTCCTCAAATGATCCGGTCGACTGCTCCGACCCAAGCTGTCATATACATTTAGTCATGCTGTGAGCTGAAATCTTCCATTTGGGGTAGAGTCATTCCAGACATCTCAATGCCTACGGTATACATGGCATACAGCATACGTACATACATACGGCATGTTGTGTGAAATAAAACCAGACATTTGAAATAAAAATCGTTCTCGAAAAGATTACAGGACTGTCATTGTCAGGACCTTCATTAAACACCCTGTTGATTGCTTCCCCTATCTAGACCAGTACCCTTAGATTAAGGATTTTGATCAACAAATAAGAGGTTAGTAAAGATTTCCTTATACTAATTGCAAAAGAGTCTGTTACCAGGCTGGATCCATCACATCCGTGACGAAGAGCAGTGAAAAATAAGACACCAAATAGGAAGATCCTGCTAAATCATCCACAAACACAGTTGCTTTAAATAGATTGAGTGAACACCCACTCAAGTAAACACAGATAAGTTCGATCATCTACCTGAAGCCGGTGAACAGAACACGACAGGCAAAAGAAAGCACAATTTTGGGCTGGGGGTTACCTGCGTTACTAACCAAAACGCAAGAAATACTGGCTACTTACCAATAACTCAGTAGTAACACGGTAGAGAAAAACTTTATGAACGGCATGACATACCTAAACGTTGTCGTATCATGGATAGAAGTGCCACCTTCTGACCAGGCTGTGAAGTGACTTCTGTAGTTGACGTATACATCCCCTCGTATTTCTGCGAAATGAAAGGTTTTTTAGGAATTAGAACGATTACGCCCGTTAGCAGCAAACATGGTGTGCGAATAAAGTCACACGAACCCACCCCCCCCCGAAAGAACCAACCATGGTGTGCGAATAAAGTCACACGAACCCCCCCCAAAAAGACCAATCTCTACTTAATTCTCTTCCAAATGCTCCGGTTTCTTAGTACTAGGATGATCACACCGTCATTTGTGATTGCGTACTACACTCCGAAGGGGATATCCTCGGAAAAATACAAGTGGAGTAAAAAATGTCCCGTGACTTCTCATTCCCACTTGTCCACAGAGGACAAAACTTTCAGCGCGCGGGCACAAAAGCCCACTGAAAAAAGCAGCACCAACATGAGTAACCGTGATCGATTCTGGCCGCAATACACTGGGAATATCATGTAGAACGTTCCACGTTTATGCGCCCCTGGGTACATATTCTATGCTATTTAGGAGCATTATGATCATATTAGTAATCCTGGTCAAAATTAGTCAACATTCTAACCTTTCGGCAAAAGCTTGATGAGCTATTAATTAATTTTCATAGGATATTAGGACAACTCCCCTATAAAGGCACACTGAAGTATAGCAAAAATGGGAGGATCCCAACCCAAGATTGATGATAAGTGTGACTGCAACCTGTATTAGGAAGGGTTTTGTACCGCAATCAACACCAGAACATAGACCGACTGCAGTCACTCGCGGTGAATTCAATGACCGGTTTTCAACTTTTAGAGCTTTCTTCTTCCACAACGCGCATGCGGATAGTGGCTGAGGTAAGGGCCCTCCTACACAGCTCAAATTAAGACAACGTTGCAGTTTGTTGAACTAGACGAAAAACGGGGTACGCATGTCGTTAATACAGATCCTAGTTATCCACATAGTCGTTCTTTGACAGTTAAGTCAACCTTATCCTTCAGGTGCGGATCATACGTTTCCTCAGCACTGCAGTAGCCGTGAAAAATGCACGAAATTCATAGACTGATGCATCCACAACAGCTCCATACTAGTGCTCCAACTACAATCTAACTCATAAACCGTCTACCATATCATGAGTAAGGTCACGCACTGACTTAAATCGGGTGCCGCTGGTGCTGTGGAAACCCAGGTTACAGACTTCGATTAGAAGAAATTCGGTGCTCGTAGACTCCACATTTTTATTCACTCAGCAAGCGTAGTTTAACCGTTCACCTTGCAACTCCGGGAATAAAATGCGAAACCTCATAAAATTTTAGCGGGCTTTGGATATAGGTTACTCATAAGCGAACCTGCTTCAACGTTAGTAGATCTTTTCCATGCCCAAAAGGAACAAACGATTCCCGGAGTTGACCGCAGTTGCTCCAGTGTTAGAGGATATTTCGATAAAAACCTAATGACCCAAGATTACGGTGAGGTGTCCCGAGGTGTGTATGGTTGCCATGGGGTAAAAAAACTAAGAAGTAACTCAATTTAATGACCAACCATTTTCATATCTAAAATGAGGTACCCTAAAATGCCTACCAGACTGGCTTAATTCTGTCGGTACATCTAACGAAAACTACCGGAAGACCTCTTGGTGAAAAAAAGATCAGGGCTGATAAGTTCTATGGGATGCGTTATACACGAAAACTTCTCTTGTTAACGGCTTTCCTTGGAAAGGTTGTTGAAATGCTTGAATGTTGAACTTTCTGTGAGCATACCCACCTAATCGCTCATTACTGGACAACCACAAAAGCTGTAAGTGTCAAATGAAAGAAAAAATCAGCTCTAGAGCAAAACTGGCAAACATGGCTTATCCCAAAACATCAGAAAATTAGCCAAGAGAGCCGTGGTTCTAGGAACTAAAACAAAAAATACTGGCGAGAATAGCTGCATCCCATGTAAAGAGGGTAGCATGAAAAAGCGGAGACTATTCAGCTCCTCTTCAGCTCCGTGTTGGGAGAAAAAACAACACACTGACGTAGCGATTGACACTGACCTCCAAATACAGAAAAACGGACATCGTACTCGGATGATAAGACGGTAATCCGTCCTGTCCCAAAGGTACGAACATCAACTTCGCGTCACGGAAAAGGACCAACAGATTTTCAGCAACTGTTTGTTCGACCAGTTGCATTAGCTGGACGATCCCATCCAAGCTCCTCAAAACGGCTCCATGACGTGTTTCGTATGTGGAATGACCGCGCGGTTAAAGAAGCGCTGTCTGACTGGAACAACGGTGTAAGCAACATACTGCTGAATGAAGGTAAGCACCAAAGACCTTCAACGGTTATATTCACATCCCATTTGTATGAAACCCGTCTGACCATTTGACAGACTTTGCACACCCGAATGAGCCTCCTTCATTGAGTGGACACACGAGTGGCCAAATCAACACATTGACCATTGAATGTGTCAGATTTTACGGAGAGCAGCACAACTCCACATTGTTAACACTCAATAACAACAAACGAATCCAGTTACCATCAGTTCCCGATGCTGTGATTCTGAAGGGAAGTTTGATGCACATTGTGACCGAAACTGCTCGGCAGTATACCAAAGACTGTGCAAAGTATCATGTAGCCACGAATTTGGAGACCATCGTATTTTGATTTGCCGAAAGAAACGCGGTCACCACAGACATGAACGAATAATTAAATAGAACCGCTGATCTGGTTTGGAATATTGTTGAGACTGTCATGAGAATCTCACCCAACTAGTTCCTGATTAGGCCACACAATCAGTTGTAGGATGACATCGCACTGATTTCTTACACTCACATTCTTAGCCTCATATTAGTAAGCTGTGGCTAGCCATGGACATACGCAGAGCAGTCATGCTCGGAAAGCTAAAATGAACTAAACTTTCAGAGTCGAACGACTAACAAAGTGCAACAATGGGAAATTGGATCAACTATCCGATAGAAACCACTATATCCTTTACACAACCGTGTCAAGTAAACGAGATGCCCCTGGATTGTTGTGTTTACCTGCGGATGTTTATTCTTGAATCCCTACAGCAGTTGGGTGAGAATATTACCCAACTGCTATCACAGCAAGACAACACGAACCCAATAATTACAAGGCCATTATTTTTCGCGTCTATTTTGGAAGTCCCTCAGTGGTTTTCATGTTTTAATATTAATTCAATTCAATTTACCAGCTGTAAACCGTGTACCATAGGCATATTGGTTCCAGCCACTGCAGTTTCACTCACCGGCTTTTTGAGACTACATGACAGTGTCCCCACTGAGATCAAAATATGACTCGGTGTGATGTTAAGGCAGACAAAGACTGTGGAGGGTAAATTGAGACTTTCAAAATACACCTGCCACTGGACATCTTACTTTGGCTTATTCATTTAGTATTTCCATGAGACCAGGTCAAAAACCCTGTTAGTTTTAGAGTACTAACTCCGTTAATACCAGTCGGTCACTAATTCACTCCGGAAACGATATCGTACCGGACTTATAATCAGGTGATTGTGAACTGCTCACCGAAGCCACGACCTTAACGTCCGAGAGAATGCCTGAAGAAACAAAAGAACTCTTACTTCACGCAGTTGACCAATGAAGCAAAAGTGACTGGTAACTCATGCAGGAAAGTGAAATTATTTTGCGTGGAAGCGAAAACGGCAGAAGCTTAAAATTGACCAAGATCATACCTGGAGATCTGATGATCCCAGCAGTGATGGCTTTTTCCGCGGACGCTTGACGGTAGGGGACCCAGGGGACTGAAGTACAGCATTTGCAGTGTTACTCAATTCTTCGTTGTCTTCCTCGTGAACGCGCTTAGGAGTTCTGCTTATCGTGGCATTTCGGGATACAGTGTGGGATAGCTCTTTTTTCTTCTCGGAGACGGGGGTTCCATCCAGACCATGGCTGTGGCGCCGCTTCTTTGAAGCACGGATACTATCTCTTCCAGTACTCTGCATTGAAAGCTAAAATGGAGAAGAATAAGGACAACAGAACATTTCTCCGTATTTACGCGGAGCAATGGGCATTCAAAAATCAAAATCACATGTTTAAAACGTGTAGAAAGATATAAAAATGTGGCGAGGTGAAAAGTGAGGCTCGCTTGAAAAATAGAAATATATGAGGACATTAAATGGTTGAACAAAACTGAGTTAGATTATGAGGGCAGCTCTTGCCAAGAGTGAACACAGGCCTCTGTACATCGGAACTCATGTTAACGGACAGACAAACAGACAAAACAGTGAGGGTGGTTTCGGATTATTTGCCAAGGAATGGGAGTTAATGGGAAGTTGAGTACTACTTGGGATGAAATATAACACATCAGTATTACGTAGTGGGGTGGATGTGGGAATTGCACAAGCTAATTTTGAAGGGTGAGAGATGTTTATCACAGGGAAAAGAGAAAGTGAGTCTCCTGGCGGCTCATGCTGTAGGTAGTTGAACACGCGGGCCGAAGTGAGACTGCTCACGAACGAAAAACCAATAAGGATGATTGAGGGATCAGGTTGGAATCAGTAAATAGTAGGAGGCTGGCGTATGGACCACAGACAGTAAGAACATGAGCGGATTTTGTAAGGTTGAACGCATCAGTTGAAGTCAACGTCCAATCAGTTCCAAGAGTGATTGATACTCAGTGAGCTGTTGGCGTTCATAACCAGTTTGAGACAAGGCAGATCTTGAGAAGAATAAGTGTTAGATCACATCATCCGCAAAAGTATGAAGACAACAGGAACAAAATGGATATCTTCGATAAACAGGAGTGAGGAAAAGAACAGGAACTTTAGTAACACCTGCGCTGACCTTGTGAATCTGAGTGTAGAGGTTTTGAAGGTATGTTCCGCGACACCATAATTATGTGGAGCAGACTCGCGGCCAACCAAATTAGCCTTCTGTGCATAAGATGTATGCCTTCATATTTCGGAGACTGCTGATGTCAATTTATCTGAATCCACCATTTTCGACACGCTTATTCGAAAGTCGGACTTCCACACTTCACACACGTCGTGCGATCATGTGTTCCAGTTAGCTCCGCGTTGTGTAACTCGTAGCCAGTGCAGATTGTTTGTCCACATAATAGGTATATACCTGCACCTCCTATTCAGTTTTGTATTTTCGTGGCTGAGAGATGGCTAGGGCGTAAATTTACCGACCGGAAGGTGCATGGTTCCAACTCGACTTCTGCATTTCGACTTCTCCTGTCTAGGCTTGGGCAAGCTGGTAGCATTCTAGCCCTCGTGCTTGCTTCGGGTGGCACGGCACCTAAGCACGAAAGGGTGTTACAGCTGAACGATTATCCTTTTTATTATCTATTGCCGTATCCGGATAGCCTTGTTAATCTGGGGGATGACTATGTTTAGTGCGTCACAAGTAGCAATAAAGAACACCGTCAGGGCGTACATGAATCGAGCAGTTGGCCGAGTTCCCAATCCAGGATGTAGTCCTTATTGGCAGTTTGGCAATTAAAGGGTCATGCTATGCTCGATCGAGTCCTGGGCGCATGAAAAAAGCATGTCATTTCGGTCTTACTAAACTGGTCCAGAACAGCGGACCATACGTGTGACGCCAACAGATCGGCAGTCGAGCGATGAAACTTGAACCCATACTGGCGATCACCCATGGAGCTGTTATGCACCAGACCAGGAAACTGTCCGACGGAGGTTTGCTCTCTAACTATAGACAAAATAGGAGTGATAGGGACGCAGAGGTTGTTGTTCGGACAAGATGGGCTACAGTTGGGGACATGGAGTGCGCAAGAACTTTTCCAAACACATGGAACTAGTCGTAGAGATGGGAGGAGGAAGAAGACGAGGTACGACTAGAGGGAGTTCTGGAAAGCAGCAGCGGAACAAAATAGTGTCACCAGGACAAGGAAGATCAGTGATGTTGGGTGATGGAACCTTCACGGAATTTAACTCTACCTCGAAATTCAATAAGTGAATAGTCATACGTGGATGTAATATTCATGGACATTGGACATAAATGTTCACGAGCATGAATCCGTAACCGACTGAAGTTGTTCCGCTTCAGGAGATTAGTGGATGTGATCTTATTTAAGTGAGTTACGGCAGCAAGGCATCAGTGTTGAACGATGTGCTGTCAACGATAATGTTGATAATTGTGAAAGAAGTCATTTCTTCACAGAATTCGAAGTAAAGTCCATTGCAGTTGCACTCATTTAGAAATGAAAGATACATTAGGGAATTGTGGCTACGTCTGTATACCATGCCGCTGTAGATGTGCTCGATTTACGAATTTAAAATTTCCAGTGTTTGGGAGCTCGTTTCCCGTTGTACTCAACGCAAGAACCGACGCGCTATATTCGGCGTGTTTCTTTACGAAGCCACGTTTTACTTTGGTAAAACAATTCAACTTATTGGTTTTCACTATGGCGGACATTCCGACTGCACTAGCTTAGCCAATGTAAACAGTTAGAAGGAAGACAGGGGGTTCGCAGTGAATGTTCTGTATGAGCCTAAGTCGACTCACCGACCAGGTTAAAATTTCGAGATAGCAGGAGGGTGGAGATGCATACTAAAGGAATGGATCAACTCGACCGACGCTACGTCAGCATAATGAATCCAACTACTTCCATTCATAACTCACAAGTTCCTTTGAGTACTGAAAATTGAGTTAGAGGGGTCCTAACGATTATACATACAGAAGTGTTTAGATACATTGAGAAAGAGGCTACAGATCGTGCATTTGGATATCATTTGGGCCTGCGGAATAGACTGAGGAGCAAGTTGGAGGAGTCGCACAATCTGAGGGGAAAAATTGGGCACATATTCCGAACTTATCCTGAAGAGTCGATTTCGGGACTCCAATGGAGAAGAGAGGTCACGAACGAGAGCAGAAGTGCTATCTGATTGCCTTCCAAGCTTCCAGAAGGATCGGCTTCAATATGACAAAGAACCCTGATGAATGTCCAGAGAGGAACAGTCACGCTCCATTTCAGTTGATCCGATCAACCAGCCAAAAGACAGGTGTTACCTAGGCAATTTGTGTAAAAGATATGACGGCAATGCGTTCTCAGCATGGCTGCACTGAGCAATGGGATGAACACCTCAAAAGTACATTTCAGGAGCAAGATGGCCCAAGTGGTTAGAGCGCGAATTTACTGACCGGAAGGTCCGTGGTTCGAATCCGACCTCCGCCACTCGACTTCCCCTGTCTAGGCTTGGGCAAGCTGGCAGTATCCCAGCCCTCGTGCTTCCTTCGGGTGGCATGGCAGTTAGGCACCGAAAGGGTGCTACAGCTGAACGCTTTCTTTTCTTTCCTCGAATTCGATGAGGCGCCCGGACCGGGTGGTCTGTAAGCTGAAGTTCTGTTGAGTAATCTGAGGGTTTTACTACAGAACGCTTGGAACAAAAGCAGAATATTGGTGACACTGACGCACCCACATCCAGTCTCCAAAAAGCGCAAGGACATCAGGTGAAAAATCAGCTTGGCATCGGCAAGGTAGCTGTGACATCCAAGGTGTTCTATGGCACTTTTTGCGAAGACAGACCGATTACCAGGAGCTACGAATTTGTGAGGATCAACCTGGGTTCCAACCTGGTTGAGAATGCAACAGCCGTATCTTTACTTTGAAACAATTTATTAAAAGGGCATCACCCTCTCAAAAGTACCAGGTTGGTTGTTTCCTGAATCTGAAAGCTCTTCTCACTTAGTTAATCGTCAGAAAATGCGACAAGGCCAGTTAATTAAGGTTATCTGTTCTAAATTTTCTACCCCTTGAGTCCATTGTATGCGAACCCTTGCGAGCGCGTGTGAGCATAAGATGTCCCCTGATTTCACAGCGTCAAGTGTCATGACTGTCCTCCCTCACCATTCCTCTTCCACTTTGTAATCGACGCGCAACATTAAACAACAGTACGCATCCGAAAGCTCGGAGATCTAAATGAACCACAAATAATTGCTTGCAACATTGAGTGCATAGACCACATTGCTCTCCCTGGATCAGCTCATTCAAAGACGCGAATCATTTCAAATAAACTAAATCAAGTTTTCGGAGGCGAGATGCTTCAAGTGGTTCGAGCGCGAATTTACTGACCGGAAGGTCCGTGGTTCGAATCCGACCTCTGTATCTCGGCTTCCCCTGTCTAGACTTGGGTAACCTGGCAGCATCCCAGCCCTCGTGCTTCCTTCGGGTGGCATGGCAGTTAGGCACCGAAAGGGTGCTACAGCTGAACGCTTTCTTTTCTTTCCTCGAATTCGATGAGGCGCCCGGACCGGGTGGTCTGTAAGCTGAAGTTCTGTTGAGTAATCTGAGGGTTTTACTACAGAACGCTTGGAACAAAAGCAGAATATTGGTGACACTGACGCACCCACATCCAGTCTCCAAAAAGCGCAAGGACATCAGGTGAAAAATCAGCTTGGCATCGGCAAGGTAGCTGTGACATCCAAGGTGTTCTATGGCACTTTTTTGCGAAGACAGACCGATTACCAGGAGCTACGAATTTGTGAGGATCAACCTGGGTTCCCCACAAGGGGTTAGAGCGCGAATTTACTGACCAGAAGGTCCGTGTTACGAACCCGGCCTCTGTATCTCGGCTTCCCCTGTCTAGACTTGGGTAACCTGGCAGCATCCCAGCCCTCGTGCTTCCTTCGGGTAGCGTGGCAGCTAGGTACCGAAAGGGTGCTACAGCTGAAAGAAATCAAGTGTTTGATGTGTTCATCACACCCGCGAATGTACTGGGCGGGATCGAACCTGATGACCATGCTCACAAATCTGGTGGATAAATCTATTGACCTGGACAGTCGCATAAATAAATTACAATACGAATTGTGCAACTGTAACACCTCTTCGGTGTCTAACGGCGACGCCACTCGAAGTACGAGAGCTGAGATCCTGCCAAGCTTAGATAGGAGCGGACCAGGTGCCACAGTTGGATCCAAACCACGGACATTCCGATCAGTAAGTGTGCACTTTAACCACTGAGCTACATCGTTCTCTGCAATTGTA